TTGGTTATTCAAAATTGGCATAAATGTATAGGAGCAATCTAGATTCTTTTGATGAACATGATGATACTGAATTACGGAATGCACTTCGAAGAGCTCATCTAATTGATGATGTAACTACAGGTTCAGGCGCTGAAAATGATAACAAATTATCACAGAATGAACAATCACAAAGTCAAATAACATGGACTCTCGACGCTCCCGTTAGTGAAAATGGTAATAATTATAGTCAAGGTCAACGGCAGTTGATTGCACTCGCGAGGGCATTGGTTCGTAGATCTAAGTTGATTATTATGGATGAGGCAACAGCTAGTGTAGATTTTAAGACAGACCGTATGATTCAAAAAACAATACGTGAAGAATTTAGTGATGCAACTCTACTATGTATTGCACATCGTTTAAGAACAGTTGTAGATTACGATAAAATTTTAGTGTTAGGTAAGTATCATTTGGTCTTATTCGAAATATTTATCTTTGTTTTTATGGATTTATCTGTTAATTATATTTTATAATTGTAATAGATGCTGGAAGGATTGTGGAGTTTGATCATCCATATATTCTCCTGCAAAATCCAAACTCAATGTTTCGTGGAATGTGTTATCGAAGTGGTGACTTGGCAGAATTAGTCGAAATTGCTAAGGCAAAATATGACAATGATTGTGGAAATATTGGTGTTTAGAGTCTAACTCATAACTAGAGATTCAATTTAGAAAATTAAATATAACTTTAGATAGATATTTTATGGCTTGAGTGTAACGAGTTTAAAAAATTGCAACAAAAACCGTATACGAATTATATTTAGAGTAGCTGGAAAAAATGATTCAAATGACAAATAATTCATTTCAAACCCAAATTAGGTCATTTAATTGATAATCTAATACTTAACTAATCAGAATTAAATACTATATAGACAAAACCTAATTTTCAGTTATATATAAAAGTGTTTCACCAGAATCTTTGGATGACAAATTACATATATTCTGAAAGTTTCACGTAGATTTAATAGTTTTAACCTTACAAAAAATTTCGCAAAACGTAAATGTAATATGTGGGCGGTCAAAAGTAGAAACCACCCAATTTGAAAT